TCGCATTTTATCGTCCTCTTTGAACTTTTGCAAACCACATAGTTTCTCTCTATGCTAGACTCTATTTTACAAAGCATATGGCCTACTCAATGGCACTAACATATTTCTCTCAATAAACTGAAATGACACTTGACCCCGTCCGACATGAGATGCTCAGACAAAAATAAAATTTAGAGAGAAGCACGCACACAATTGCTTGGATCCAGTCTTCCTTAAAGCCTTCTTTTATAATGAAGAAGTGTATTCCGGGCCTGAAAAAGAAATCTGAAGCCTTTATCCGAAACAGAGATTGACCATCAGAAAGGAGGTATGCAGTGATAGGAAACATATAAATTCTATTCACGAATTTTGACAACATTAAAAAGTCCTGAGTTGACGTGGTCACCAGCCTACTCTGCTTTCAGCCAGTGTACTGCCATCAACCAACGCACATGACATCATGAACCCAACGCGAGTTGGCTTATATTGGCGTTAACTAGAAGCGGATTTGCATCGACTTGCCTATTTATAGGCTGAAGAGCTGAATGTACTAGAGTTTGTGAGTGGAAAGAGAGAATTAAATTAGCCCGGCGCATTTTTACCATATAGGTGGACGAAAAGCCATGATTAGAAGATTGGAATTTGGAGAGATCTCTAAGGACGAAGATTCAGCTGCAATACTTTCTTCATAATATGGCCTTTAAGACTCTCTCACTCAATTGGGATCGAATTTACACCATTGCTGTTTTGCAAAGACCAGTTTTATTGGATGAGATTCAGGCATGTGTGACAGTGGCGAACCGATTACTTAGCATTATCAGTAGCTGGGTTTGATCCTTCCTCCAGGTTTCTTGATTGTTGCTTTAAACACAAACCTGGTGGATGACGGAGGAGAGAGTGCGGTAGATTCAGTGACAGTCTGCCGTCATTATACATTAACTCATATCCGAATCATCATTCCTTATCCTATCCTTCTCTTGACCACAGGGATGACGTAGCCCGTCGCTATGTCCAAGCCGCCAGCGTGTCGAAATGGGGCTCCGAAATCAATGTGATTTTACCGCATTTATCTCCGACTAAACAGGTTCTCCCAGCTCAACATGCAAGTAAGCATCTTCATTTTCTACAGGAACTCCACGTATCCTTTACCGACTCATCAAATGCTTTCACTATGTTTTTAAAGAGTGATGTTGTTTCATTTCATTTTCGCAACTGTAACGATGCCGTCTATGAACTATGCTTGAGTTTATGATCTCAGTGCTAAAATATATGCCATTCCGTCGCACTTGACCATTAATTTGTTGTATTTTTATACACTAATATGTGCACCCTATTGCCTGTGCGCGTTAGTTGAATTTGTCCATTTTCGCTTGTGCTTTAGCTTGTCGCCTGTACATAGTATGTACGTTTCGTGAGTGGTTTTGAGGTTTTTCATAAAACTTATTTTTATAAAATTTTTAGACTGATGTCTTGTGATTTATGCACTCACACTCTCTTTGAGAACGCTGAGTTTGGTGTAATTTATTATCAGAAATTGTGTACTATATTAAAAAAATTTTGTACTAATTTTTAAGACATGACATAGATATTGCGTTCATAAGTTTTTGGATCTCATCATGTAAACTACTCGAGTTGAACAGTACCGGCCTATTTTAGGATATTTTAGGATTGGTAATTTTAAAGTGGAAGGCTTACTATTTATGTTGACGGCGGTCTAGGTGCATACGAATGCAATAAGCTTCCACCAGCTAACATATTCTAATTAGGTTAATTGGTATTTGCATACTGTGGCTCGTCATATTGGGAAAATCGCGTCTGCGCACTCCTATGTGAAGATATGATACAAGTGTATCCTTTCTCCAATGTTCACATCAAACATTACAATATTCACTAAAAGTTAAATTTGAGTCTGCGATGATCCTGGAAAATGGCCACAAAAGCTGGCCTGTTAATTTTTTTCATACTAACCTGAACAAGATGGTAATTCAACAATAAGCCGTCAGCTTACACTTCTATCAGTGTACCCCTCACTATTAGCGTCTTGCTGTTTTTTTTGAGAGCAACAATATTGTTGCTAGTGCAACTTAAGACTCCTAGTTTTTTTCAACGTAGAAATCCATTATTTTTAATTCCTAGTGTTGTCTTATATGAGGCAACAGCATTGGCCTTCTTTTTCGCGTGACTACCATTTTAGCAAATGGTATTTGAGAATTTCCTAATCAATGTTTCTTTCGACGTCTTCTGGTACATCTTCTGTCCTGTCGGCAATGAGAACATATTCTTTTCACAATTAGTCCATTGCTTCGTTTTATTTCCTTTGGCCAAGTT